TTCAAGGACAGCTAGGAACTGATTTAAGGAACTGATGGAATTGCAAGATAATCCTGGAACTTTATTAACTCCATTCCTAAAAAGGAATATATTTTAGGAAATCTGTTAAAACAACTTCAAATCTACAGAAACGTAGTGCTTTATTACAAACTTCAAACGTAGAGCATACTCCCCCTATAAAATAATTAAACCAAAAGCAGTAAAGATGCCTACAGACAAAGCAGCCAGCTGTTATTTCAACGGATTCAATTTAATTCAACGCACTCAGTAAACATTTATTGAGGATGTGGGAGATAGTGTTTAAGGTACTGGGAATGTGGCAGGAAATGAAGTAATTATTAGTATTAATTCTTGTGATCAATCACTACTGTCAATACACTTCTGGTATTAATATTGTTAATATACACATTTTTTGTTGCCTGTATGAATGATCCCAACAGTCTCCCAGCCAAGTACTTGTGAAGTGAGAGTTCAAAACGAGTCTTTCAGGGATGAAAACAATAGTCATTTAATTTGAATGTACTCTCTTTCAAGCCCTGGGCCCTGCACTTAGCACTCATTACTTCACTTAATCCTTACAAACTCTTATTATCCTCTTTTTATTTTGGATGGTTCTGGGGGTCACTTAGATGAAATGCCTAGTTCCAAAGTCACCTGCTGGGTCTGCCCCTTCAAACTTGGCTGGTCACTACTTTGCTGGGCTTGGGGAAAACCCTTCCTCTTTTCATAGACTTTCTCCATGGGTGCCAAAATATCTTTGGCTATCACCAAGGGAGCTGTTCAGTTTATGAACTAATTGGGCCACATGGTGCCAAGTAATCATGTTGCCTGGTTTTCTTTCCCCCTTGAATCAACTCATTCATTTTAAGAATTGACCACATCAAATTGTTATGTTAATGGTAAATTGAATTATTATTGTCCATTCTTTTTCTTCTCTTCATTTGGTAGATCTCCATCTGCCAGGAACATGACTAAGAGCTTAGAGTCAGATACATCTGCATTTTAATCCCAAATTTACCCGGTTATTCATTTTATCACCTTAGGCAACTACTTAACCTCTTTAGGCATTGGTGACCTTCTCTGTGGAAATGCAGATAACAATAGTTTCTATCTATGGGGGTTAATGAAAAGATTATGATGCAACCCATTTGCTTCTAACACAATAGCTTAAGGAATTTTGCTAAGCAATAGACATTTATACTAACATCAATAATTATTAATATCAGTGTTAGTATTTTGTTTTACTATCCAATTTTCTATGACATTCACTGACCTCCTTGGCATACACACTTTTGATAGGCAGAGTTACTTGCTCGCTCATCATTATATATTATTCCTTCAATATGGAACTGCACTCTGTTATAAACATGATCTCAGGTCTCTGATTCCCTATGCATTTAATATAAGAACATGGAAGGCAAATTCATTCACCTTTTTATTGCCAACCCCCTTCACTGTGCCTAGCCTATAGGTATCATATGGTGTTTATTGATTTGAATGAATCCATCATATCTCTAGTCACATTAAGTGGAAATGTCGGCATCTTTTGTACTTGTTTGCTATGTAATTGGTAGTATTACATTGATTTTGGTATTTGTACAAGCAATTGGGAGCTCCTTGGTGCACATACAACCAATGTCCTTAGCTGGAGGTTTGAATCTACTTAGAGGTGACTTCAAAGATAGATCTGGTGATCTCCTTCCCAAACTCAGCCACTGAAAACCTTATGGTGCACCATTTTGCTTGGATACACATGAGGTCAGTATGACTCACAATCAACTTGACGATAACTAGTTTCACTGATTCATTACGACAGGGATGAATTATTTTATGCCAGGTAATACCAGCTTCTTTTTTTTAAAGTGTATTTACTTAGAAGCATTCAGAATGTCAACAACGCAGCAACATTTTGTTGTTGTTTTACTCCTATAAGCTGCATCAAAGACAATTGAAGATGAAAAACAAAACAAAACAAACCACTGCCATTTCCATAGATAATTAATTTGTGCTGTGTACCAACCCGAACCTGCTTTTCATTTCCATGCCAATCTACAACCCCCACACTGCATTTCAACGTGCCCTGCTCCTTCTACTCGCAATGCAAAAGTCTTTGCTAACTAAACAGAAAGTATCAGTTTTCAGTGTACTTTCGTGCGGGTCTTACTCGTGCTAGATCACAGACTTTTGCCATTTCTGCTGTTAAGATTATTAATAAGGATTCTCTTGTTTTCCCTTCAACTTACTTCCTCCATCACTTTAAGGTATACATTTTACCACCCCCCACCCCCCATCATTAATGCATTTCCATTTGTCTCTGCCATTAGGCTGTCAATCTGTAAAATTCTTGAGGAAGAAAGAGAGACCTTACTTTTAAATAGGCCTGCTTCTTTGCTAGAGAGGTTGGTGCACTGTCTGCAATGCTATTTTTGTCAAGAATCTGCTTTTGAAATTTCAAGAAGTGAAATTTAAGAGAGCTACTCACCGGTGAAAGATAAAACCATGAAAGAAGGGAACATGAGTAAAAGAGGGACAAAAACAACAAACCCCCAAAGCATTCCCAAATGAATAAAAAAAGAATCAGGAAATGACATGAAGGGCCTCTGCCTTGCTTTCATGGTGATTCAATGTGCAGCCAAGAACCTCTGGATGCCGAGACTGAGGTGTCGAGGCATGCCATTTTCCTTGAGGGAAAGGAGTCGTTGAAGGTCTCTGAAGATCAGAATCAAGAACGCTGGGGGTATAGTGGTGATACAATTGCCCTGCTAGCCCAAACGTCAGCAGTTTGAAACCAGCAGCTACTCCGTGGAAGAAAGATGAGACTTTATGCTTCCGTAAAGAGTTATCTCTGGGAACCTCACAGGGACAGGGCTAGTTCTCCCCTGTCTTATAAGGTCCCTGTGAGTTGGAATCAACCTAATGGCAACGAGTCTGGTGTTTGGTTGGAAGATCGGAACCACTGCCCATTATGAATGGTCAGAAAATGCAGCACTGTTAGTCTGAATTTCTAGGTTAAAGGGAATCAAGATGTGGTGTTGTCACTGGATGAGGAGAGGAAAAGGGAACATCCAGAAACCTTATCTGGAGATGTTATTCAAGTGCAGTTAAGCAGCACTGCTCTGTTTCCAGTGAAATGAGGTTGAGACAAATGACTAAATGGCCACAGGACAGTTATGTCAGGATTCAGACAGACTTCCTGGGTTCTGAGGGCTTTGCCTATGTTACTAAGCACAACAAGGCTTGCCCCACAACGGGGGCTGCAGAATTTTCCAAGATTCTGAGTCATTTGGCAGGGTTTCCAGCGACAGCAGCTTTGATGATTCTCTGGGAGAATCCGACCTGAGTCATGGAGAAAACCTATGGAACTTTTATTCACTTTGGCCTTCACGTAAAAGGACGAGCAGCGCCCACGCAGGGGATACGTGGGCTCGTCCTGAAGATCAGCGTACTTGGGCTGGCCCGTTTGCTTCATGACTGAAAGAATGCTCCAGAATATGACAATTTGCCGTTCAATTTCTTTGATGAACATAGGCTGATTCTGTATTTCTGCTAAGTGCTGAACTATTTGAGATGCAAAGGGGTAATTGAAAAGAATAGGTAACAGAGTCTCATATTGGAAATATTATCTATCAGTGGAAGCAAGGGCAAAGGAGGGATACTCTTCAAACTGCTTCCATGAAAAATTTCAATCAACTGCTCGCTTTCTCTCACAAAACTCTGACACATGTCCCTTGACCTTTATCAAGTACCCTTTCATGTTTGACACTTAACGTTTGCTACATGATTAAAATTCAGCGTTAATTAATTCCAACACCATCAGTTCAGTTATATTTAGCTAAGAACACTCACTTTTGTCTTTTGTGAGTAGCACTGCAGGGTTATTACAAAGAGGTAGTCAGGAGGGCAACAGAGATACGAGAAGAGAAGAATGATTCAGTGTGCAGATAATTGTTTCGAGGGAAATGTAGCTCGGTACTTTTGTTCCTGTCCTTAGTAGTACTGAGATTTAGCACCTCCCGTTGGCACTTAGCACCCCCCACCCCACCTCCACACTGGGGGAGGCTCTGGTGGGTGGGGGCTGAGAACGAGCCGCACCAGAGTTGAATTACAGCACAATTCCAACACTGGCAAGCATTTTCTCTGGCCAGCTCTGGGGTACAAAGTTTGTGATCCTAAATGAGAGCCAAGATGTTTCTAGAAAGGCTCTCCACACAGTGTGACAAAGCAACATGCTGGTTTAAAGAGCATCACCCCCCCAATGGTGACTGTTCCCAAACAGTGAAAGGGAGTGTATTTAAGCATAGCAGGGATAAAGTTCTAACCTCAAAAGACACCCATGAGGTTGTCTTGTTGATTGCTTCCTCCATAATGTGACGAATAGAAATGGATGAAATCCAAGACATTTGATTCTTTCCTTTAATAGAAGTGATAGGCACTCACTTTAAGTAAATGTACAATTTTACTGGCTTCTTTATACCATGCCCCCTTTCCTCTGTGAATAGATTATGATAAAAATGTAGACCACCTGTACACTTTTATGGCCGTGCTGCTCTCTAAAAGCAGTCTTGGTGCCAGGCACCCGTTTAGGCCTTACCTGGGCCTGCTTTGCGGTCCCTGGGAGCAGGCTGTGCTCAAGTGCCTGTCACACAGCCTGGGCTGTGTATACTTCCCAGGCTCAAGGACAGAATGCTCCCCGCTTGGTTTTTTCTGCATTGCCATTCGATTCCCATGTCCTTCTAGGAGGTAATGCAGGGAGACGTCGAAAGGTTTTGCTTTATTTCTTTGACATTCGTTAATGATCATTGATCAACTGACATTATAAGCCTCCAGTTTGACATTATTTTTGGCTTAATTATTTAAATTGAAATAAGAAAAAGTGAACATGTCTGTGTTTCACAGTATCCTCAATCAATGTGAATGGAGTAGGAAGTTGTCTGGAAATTTTGAGTTTACAGGTCATTTCTTTTTATAAAGGATCTTCCTCTCTGTGTTTACATTTCTAGGTATTACACAATGGCCTGGTTATGGAGATGGACCATCCAACTGTGGGGAAGATAGCAGTGCCAGGTTTGAACATTTTGGTTATTTTCTTTATCGCCTTCTTTGTGAATTGGAACACATGTGAATCCCCCCGCAGGGACCTGGCGATCCCTAAACAACTTGTGGAGCCATGTCCACTCCTTTTGGATCAGAGGTTCCAATCCCAAGAAGGAGTGCTGAGTCAATGGAATTGTGACTTCCCTTTAATGAGTGTCTGATTGTCTCAGTGACAGAAACACATAACTGTTGGTTAATTTCCCAAATGCGCATAACATAATTGTCAATAGTTTGTTAATATTGATATTAAATACTGTCAGGTCAATTTCAACTTATCAAGACACTGTTTACCAAAGAACAAAACAGCTTGGGCCTTCGTAATTGTGATCATAGTTTAGCCTATTCTTGCAGCCACTGGGTCAATCCATCATGTTGACGGTCTTCCTCCTCTTCCTTTACACTCTGCTTTAGCAAGCATAATATTCGTTTCCGGGGACTTGTCGTTGATGATAACGTGTCCAAAGAATGTGGGATGAAGGGAGAATTCTGGTTGTACTTCTTTCAAGATAGATTTGCTTGTTCTCCTGACAGTCCATGGCACTTTCCATATTCTTTGCCAGCACCATAGTTCCAAGGCAACAAACTCTTTTGTGGTCTTCTATATTCAGTGTCCAACTTTCACTTGCATATGAGGTGATTGGAAATACCCAGACTTAGTGTTACAGCTCTTTTAGAATTTGTCTAGCAGGTTTTCTGTTGTGTTTTTTTCCCCTAGAAAACACCCCCACACCAGTTTAAAAAAAACACCAAGATTTAGGTCAGAAGCAACTGTCCTCAAACTGACATTT